AAAAAAAAAATAGGTACTTGCATCTGCACCACAAGGACTTGCCTGCTTATATTCATCCAACAGAAAATTTTTTTAAATTTTCATTTGCCAGTTGCAGCGGGGATATTATGAGTTATGTACATGTTCAAGGAGATGGAATTCATACTGATGTTCAGTCACGCAGCACATATGCCTTACTTGCTACCATCCTTTCAGTATAAACAGAAGTGCTGCTCCTGCATGCTGCATTTTTCCCTTACTACTGCTTAGGTAGTTCCTTCCTGCTCCTACATCCCATTCTCAGACTGCTCCTAGAGCAGTATGTAATCTTTGCTCCCAGGCTTTAAAAACTAAAAAACAATGTCAGCAACAACTGAGTCTAGTGTTTCATGGCAGCAAAACAGAATTTTATTGCTGTCCAAAAGATCCAATCTGATTAATTAATCCTTCCTAACGGCAAGGATAAGAGCTACTAATGTAGCTTAACTCCCAGCATCCCTGTACAGACTGTATTTCACAGCTACACTGGGAAGGCACAAGGCGTCACGGTAAGCATATTCTGACCACAGATGCTGATGCAAAAATGATAAAGAATTATTTGCACATAGAACCGTCATAATATTTCCAATAAAATGTTCTATTTTCTGATTATTTATGTTTATTCAGGTTGTAAACAAATCTCTCCCCCTTGTATACATATTGTTCTCCTCCCAAGAACTCTATACTTTTTTCACATTTGATCAAAATTTCCAAAGAGAAAGGGACATTTTTTGACAACCTCTATAACTCATACTTCCCAGGAGTTACTTAGAAGTTAAACCCATACTGCTGGTGTTCTCTGCCTTCCTTTTTCACACCACTGCTGCAAAGTTTCACAAGTCTTGCTGGGCATGTGGTGAGCCACTGGAAAGACAGGGCAAGACAGCAGGCTGAGCTTTGTGCAGTGTGCAGCTGCAGGTGTTCATTACAGATGAATACAAGTAGTGCTTAAAGAAGTTTGTCTCACGGAGTATCCAGAGACCATGAGGACTTGAAAAAAAAAAAAAAAATCACACTTTGAAGCTAACATTTACAACCTAGCAGTCACACTGCCATTCCAAATACCTGACATACTCCAAAATCCATGCTGTGCATGATTCAGAGTAGGAATTTATGATCTGAACGCCCAACATCCCAACACCGTGAGTCCCAACTGCTGGGTGATTTTGGTACTGTTTCTGCACTCCTCATCATTAGGGCAATTTAACAAAAACTAAAGAAAATATACTCTGACTTCAAAAGGCTTCAGTTCCATTCTTTTGTTGAAAATGAAAAGTTTTCAGAGCTCATATTCCATGGGATGGGAAAGTTATTTCTCCACCCATATAATCTAATGCTCTGATGTATTATAATGCTGTCTCTTAAAGCGCTATTTTTAGCTGAGCCAAATGTGATGCATACTGAAACAAGTATCTTACCTTATTTGTTTCATCTTGTTTGAAGAAAGGTTTATAAAAATTCATGTCAGGACAAGCATTTAGCATTTTTCCTATGAGAACATCTGCAATCACATCCCCTACAAGAGCTGACACTGCTACTTACATTGATAGCTTTACTCCCAATCATTCTGATTTTCACAGACTTTCAGTACCTTGTAAAACTGACCCATAATGAGATTATTTTTGCTACGCATCAGATGGAGGCTTTCAGTTTGCATTAATGAATGTCTACCCATTCCTTTTTGATATAAAAAACACTTTAAGAGTTTCCTTACAGAAATATTAACTCTTTGCAATCTTTAGAGTATTTCCCCCCCCTGCAAATTACTCAGCTTAAAAGCAAAGTGATCCTATGTATGCAAACAACTGACAACAATACTACGGATCTAAAAAAAACATCTAGGCAGAAAACAAAAGATCCTTAAAGATTATAAACCAAGTTACAACATGCTGATTCTACCAGCTGTCTGGGCATAGCTCAAAAGTCAGTCCAGTGCTACTCAGGCTCAGCAGTGCAAGTCTGCCACCAAGAAAGAATGGTTCAATGAAGGAAATAAAGCTAAAATTATACTTCCAGTCTTGCAACAGCCCAGAAGTCATACTTTTTAAAGTCAATGGCTCCTGCTGCGTTATATTTATTCTGTAAACATCAAAGGGAACTTCAAGAATACAGAAGTCCCCTTCCACAAGTTACACTAGTTTTTAAAAAAAAAAAAAAAACAAACAAACAAACAAACAAAAAAAAACAGAATACAAACTTGTCCTCCACAGAGAGCTATTTAAAAATGCCAAGTTTTTTTCTTGTCTTGAAGCTAGCATATTACTCTCTTAAATGGACCTTTGCAATGCCATGGGGCCTGCAGCATTGAGCCACACAATGCAGAGCCATCTTCACATGTTGATGCACATGAAAGAAGCACACCCTTGCACCAAGTTACAGGGAAAGAGCAATGTCCAGGCAACGAAGCAGAGACAACTGGCACAGACTGTAGCCACAGGCCTGACAGCACCTCTGGCCACACGGCAATGCAAACAAGACAAAAACTCTGAGCTATTAATTCCTTATTTTGAAAGGTCTCATTTTGACAGTCCAAAGCTAGCACTGCATATTGGTATTTAACCAGCTTTCAGCTAGTACATAGTAGGGAACAAAGTATTGCTCTCAGAGTAAAAATCTAAAACTATAAGAAATCTGTTATGTGATGTAACAGAGGCTGACCTACCTCCTCGGGAGAACTTCAACCACTTCAGAAATATGGAACATTTGCATATGAACATCTTCAATGCCAATTAAGCACCTTTTGAGTTTCTACATATAACACAGCAGTATTAATGAGTTCGTACCACTGTTAATGTAAACTAGGAAAAATTAAAAGATTTAACTGAATAGCCTGTGAAAAAACAGCCCTGTTTGATTCAGACAGCACAGAGCAAAGCAAAGTGGAAGTATATGCATAAAGTAGTTGCCTTGCAAAAGCCTGGACAGGCAAAATTTACAGCAACTAAAGCACTTCTCTGAGCAGACTAAGTAATGACATTCAGAACTTTGTCCACCACACAGCTGGATGAGCTACTCCACTAACTGCAAGGGAGTTTAGCACAGGAAAAACCTACCCAGGAGAGGGTCTGTGGACAGTCATCTCCTTGCATAATGCAGGTAGTAATTTCTTCCTATAGGACTTGACCTTTCATTAAGAATTAAAGCTTCTGCTTGCATCACATCAGACATCTCAATTTGTAGATACCATGCACCAAGAATAAAGAAATCTGCTGTACATGTGGCAGAAAAGGCACACAAAGACACCAAGTACAGCCTAGCACCTCATGTCTTAGAGCAGCCAGGGACTCTAAGTTTTAAGTGAGGAGTGTATCTTAGTCATTATGCTGTTAAAAAATAAGAGTTTAGTATGAAAAAAATGCTGTAATAACAAATTATTGTAGTTTATCCTTAAAAGGGATATCTACTGATTTTCCTAGCTCCAATTCAGAATTACCTTACATCTTAAAACACAAAGGAAAAAGTAACAGTTACAAGCTCTCCTAATTTCCAGATTCCTTATTTAGTTTTTAGCAGGATACCAAAAACACAAGACTAAGGTTCCCCATTTAAAGGCAGTACTAAGGATGAGTGGCATAAATTAAAATTCGTCTCCTTTATAAGAAAGGCAAAAAAATATATTCCCTTCCTAATTTCAGTGCACAGCCCAGCTCCCTCCACTGACAGAAGCCAGACAAGGTGGCACTGCTGACCTCAGACTTCAGTCACAGTATGTCTTCATTGCACTACAGCAGCTAAAGAAAGCACACACTGCTAAAATAGCCTTTGGAAAAACATCTTAGCATATGGAGTTTGTCTGGCATAGGCTTGACTGAACATCCACTGTAGAAGGTGCCTATGGCAGGAGTACAGTGTTCTGGATAACCTTTTAAGTAACAGCTCTAACTGTCACCTAAGCTGGGCAGTGCAAAAATCACTAACTGTCCCAAAGATATGGGAAGAAGTGGCCTTTTCTTCCCTATTCCATTTCCTGAATGAAAAGAATACAAGAGATAAAAGGAAAATCCAGGTCTTTGTGCTTCTTATATGAATTACAGTTAACTAGCAGATCTGCAGCTTTCACAACCCCCTTGATCTGCTTTCCCGCTTCTCTTCTACTCACTCACCGCAGTTTCATTGATGATCCCCATCTGCAACAACAGACACGCAAGGAAGGCACGCTGGCACCGGAGTGGCTGCGGGAAGAGAGCCATTGAGCAAAAACACTGCCAGAGGAAAAGAACAACAAAGACTTAAGAGATTGTTTGATTTAGACATGTATTTGAAGAGGACCCAGGAGGGTACTGAAAATAGTTGCAGAATCAGAGAGCATTTAGAAGAGGGAAACAGGCTTCAATTTAATCTCAGTGAGCTAGCTCAGGGGAAACACGAAAAACATTACTTCCCTCACATAGCACGGCAAGTCTGGTCTCCACGAAATGAGTCTACAGCTGTGGACCAATTTGTTGCTACTTTTTCAAATGTCACACAGTTCCCCCCAGCACGCTGGGCCACAGTCCCACAGTACCCGAGATCACAGCGAGGTCAGGCTGGCTGCTTTGCTCACCTTACCTCATGCACCGCAAGCCAAGGGACCTGAACACACTGTGCATGCAGCAAAGCATATGGGGAAACAGAGAAGGTGGCCTCTGTATTGCTTTGTAAAAAAAAAATATATATATATATATATAAAAATCTATAGTCTTTAGCCTTTGGCACAGGGAAGCAAGGCAGCTCACCTCTGTATCTCTGGTACAGCTTTGGAGCACTGCACTGAAACACACACCAGCTGAGTGTCTCAGCAACGATAACACATAAAAGAAAAAGGAAAGACTGCAGCTTCTTGGTTTGGGTTTTTAAGACTGATGCCACTGGGGAGAAAAACCAGACAAGCTTCCGCGTACAGAAGCCCCTCCGGGTGCACTCACCTCACCCGAGGGGAGGAGCAGGGCGGTGCCACCCAAGGGACTGGTACAAGGGCACACCCCCCACACCAACAGGGGAACCAGAACTGGCAGTGACCCCAAAATCTGGGTGTTTACAAAGTGTTGCCAGAGGCTACATGAGGCTCTGCCACATTTCTGGAGCCACTCAGGGGAAGAAGTTGCAGAGACAGCTGCTAGCAGAGAGACCCAACCAAAATGGGTAAGCTACTGAAACACTGGCATGACCCTGACTCCACATGCCTGCCTCACAGGAAGAAGAAAAAAAAAAAAAAAAAAAAAGAGGCCGCCTCTGCCCCACCTGCGAGGCTCTCACTGGGATTAGCGTCTCCTCTCTCCCTCCCGCTCCCCGAGGCGCGCAGCCCCCTGTCAGCCCGGCACTGCCCGGGGAAAGCCAAACCCGCGGCCTCCCCTGCGCCGGGGCTCCCGCGGTCGGGCCAGGCGGGAACCGCGCCCGCCGCGAGAGAGGCGCCATGCGGCCACTTCGCCGGTTTATAGCCCCTCGTACCCCCTCCCGCGGCAGGCATGAGGCAAAGCGCGGGGCGGCGGGAAGCGCCCTCGGCCAGGTGAAGCGATTCAAGGGGGTGTTGGCGGCACCGGGGGCTGGAGCCTCGGCAGGAGCCGCCCCGCGGGCCCAGCGGCGGGCCCGGCGCAGTGCATAGCGAACCCATCGGCCTTCGTTCTGTAAGATTTCCCTGTGGAAAAGGTGCTGTAACTATCACGAGGGGAAAACACTGCGGGTCCCTTACGGTACCTGGTGGCTGCTGTGGGTGCGGCCCTTGGGACATCCCAGTTTTGAAGGAGCACGGGTGTCACAGCCCACGCTCACGTTACTGTTACGGTTGTGGGTTCGTGCTTTTGAAGGTTCAGGTTTCGTAGCGTTCCCATCAGATCCTTGGGAAAAATAAGCCTCAGAAATGTAAAACCAAAAATGAATCTAAATCTTCTGGGATTCAAACACATTCCCTGCAAGAATCCTCTGTCAGGCGGCCTGCACTGGCCGGGGTGCAGGGCTGAGGTAGTGTGGCCAGCGATGGAGGAGTTTTGAAACGGCAACACAACATTAACAAAGCTCGAAAGCATTAAAGCACTGAGATAGTTTTCAGCATAAAGTCTGAGATGTATACTCTTATATCAACAAAATGCATTTGTTACATAAAATCATTTTCACTTCTCTTTAAACTGAGTGGGGGAAGGGAAGCTTAAAATATAATTCAGATGGTTTAAAACATAGCTCATACTTCCAGTGCTCATTACCAGAATTGTACATTTCATGTCTGACTGTACAATACGATCAATGGAATTTTTTTCCTACTTCCTGCAAAACATTTGCTTATTCAACTGCCTTTTAGCAATGGGTATAATCATAATCCCAAGTGACATATGCAGTGAGAGCAACTGACTACTTTCGCTCTCTTTAGCACTTTCTTTCTAGAGATGCTGTGTTTAATTAGTTGCACAGTAGTCAGAGGAGCAAACAGGTCACCTCTATGTCAAATCTCTGATAGTCATCTTCCCCACTGCTACCCCCATCCCCTTCATTTATTTTACTGTTTTGTTTTGCATGCTACAAGTAAGGTCGTTAGTGTCAGATAGCTTTCTTGTGCATGTATTATGTTCCTAAATGTCTGCACTTGGGGAAGGGTGTGAAATAAACTGAACTCCAGCATACAGCATCTGTGTGAGGGAAGGAGCATTTCATACAAATTCTGTATTCAAACTGAATGTCAACAGAATCCTCTGAACAGATGATGTCATAAGTGTTGCAAAACACTGAGAGTTAAGAACCAATATGAATTTTATTTTTATCTGGATTCCAAAATCTGTAGAGTTACCCAAAGCCTTCTCCTGTACCAACTCATCTTTTTTTTTTTCTTTCTGCAGATAGACATTGTTTTTGCCACATCCTGTGAGAATCTGTCAGACTAGCATTCCAGCAGTACCACAAGACTAGACCAAAATCTATAGTCTAATCTATTTTAAAATAGACCTGCCACAAATGTTGAGTCACAGGGAAGCACGAACAAGGGGCAACTGCATGCAGAATACTGTTTTTTGATACTGTGTCTGAAACAGAGGAAGCAGGCAGGCAGAGGACAGGAATGGGATGCATTTCCAAATTTAAGGTGCACATAACCACAAAACTGCTTACTGCTGCAGGAAGCAGTTTGCAGTCACTGACACTGTGGCACAGCCCAAGTGACTCAAGTCCAATCTGGAATATGACCAGGGTTATGCCTTTTTGCCAGTGTTTCTACTGCCCAATTTTCTAGTTCAGATAGCAATCCTTGTGGCAATCCTCTTGTATAGTGGGGATCCACCTGCAAACCTATTACTGTTTTGAAATTAGCTGTTACTCTTGAAAGAAAAACAATGTTTTATAACACTTGTAAGTCACCAATGTCTTTTTCAATTTCAGTATTCTTTGATGATCATTACAGACTATGATTGGTATATCCCACATTACAATTTTTTATGTTGTGTCTGTAATTTCATACCACTGTATTATGTAGAAGTTAAGTTTGGTAAGTATAAAAACAGTTGCAAAAGGTATGCAAAATTACCCTATTTTTATATACTTTTTTAGGTAGGTTTCGAGGTTTGACAGTCTGGGAAATAAACAACAAACCTCAGCTGCTGGTATAGACAGTTCTCCACTGATCTCATGGCAGCCACACTAATTTATGCAAGCTGACTCTGGCCCACGTATCTCTATTTATCCACTGAAGAGTAACTGCATAGGCCATAGCAAATGTGAACTGCTCCTGCAGTGCCTAATATGCCTCATTTAGTGGGTTAATCTGAAACCCTTTCACAAAATGTAGCAAAAATTCCCTCTCAGATAATGCTATGACCTTTTTATATGCTGTTCAGTGAACCATCTCCTGCAAAATTTCCTCGGCTTGGGTTTTTTTTGTTTCCCTATCAAGAAAGGTCACTCTTTTTTGAGTTAACTTATCATTTTCCTCCTTGTTTCCTATCTCTTTGAGGCTGTGTTTGTTCTGCTGTCATAAAACTCAGGTCTGTATTTTTCAGTATTAAATGAAATAGGAGTTATTTGTCTCCACTGTATGGCAATAAGAACCATCATGTTTCTTCCTGTGAAGGTTGCATGTTACAACATGGTTGGGATGTGTCTTGCCTGAAAGAGTTAATGTACAGGACATCTGATAAAAGCTGTGTGGGACTGCTGGTATATGTACCCAAGTACCCAAGGACAGTGATCAGTTCCCAAGGACTCTGTCCTCTTCCAACATACTAACATTTATATGTAAGATAAATCAAGACCTCAGGAACCGAGGGACTTCTCTAAGATCCAGGATTCAGGGAAAGTAGAAGATTTTAAAAGGGTTTAAGTCAGATCATGAACTTCTGTGCAATACCAATCCTATAAAAAAATACACAATGATGCCTTTGAACCGTGATTGCGAGTTTTTTTCACGTTCTTCCAGCTCACATAGCCTGATGATGTAGGCTGATGAGATATGCACATGAGACGTACTGGCAAGTAGCAGGAAATAACTCTTTATGATGATCCACAATAGGTACAAATCATTCCAGCTCGGGCTCAGATAGCCTCAATGCAGGCAAAACTCTAGAAAATCATTCTTTTAGTTCTGGTGGTCCCTGCTTTGTTAAGCAGGAAAACAATCATTGCACACAGTCATCATATTAAACTACACTGGGAAAGAAGTTTTAAAATACTATCTCTTTGAGATGAGATTCACACAGCAGCCTTGGAGGTTTAATGGATCAGTCCAGGTGATACTGGGGCTGCAGTTTAAGACTACTGTTAGTAACCAAATCATTTAATTGAAAATTATCAATGCATATAGTGTAAGAAGAGAGCCAATGCAATAAGGATGTACTTCTCTAAAAAAAGACCATCTAAACAGGTCTCTCAAAGAGTGGAAGTGTTATGAACAAAGATTTCAAAAATTAGCAGCTGTTCTGCTTCATTCTTAGTTGAAAGTAATTGTACCAGTGATTACCAAGGAGGGAAAGGCCAAGCTCAATACATTCACATTTACAGACACTTTGCCAACCTTTCTTAATGCCAGCAGTTGAAGTGGTGACATTTTTAAACATAAAATGCATATTGTTTACAAGCTTGGTGGGGTCAAACAGTTTCAGCTGTTGTTTAATGCTTTTCAGCTCAAGCTCCAGCTACAACCAGAAACATTACTCAGTATCTAAATCTTGCTATTCCTAACATTTTAGAGATGCTGTTTTACATTATGTGCATTTAACCTTCCGCTCTGCAAATGATTCACAGCTTGGCGGGCCCATTTATAACAAGTATAAAAAATGTGTAAGTATTAAACTGTATATCCACGGTTCTCTTCCTTATTGTGATGTGCTTACGAATCAAACTACAGCTATTGTCAAAATCTATGGAGTCATATTTCCCAAAGAGATGGCCAAAATCAGTAGGTTTAAAGTTAAGCAAGATAAATTTACGTGTTTGTGTTCAACTCACTTGAGAGCTGAAGATTTATTTCAGAGGTTGTACAGGAACTGTAGAATTAGATCTACAGTGCAAGTTGTCCTTCCAGCCCAACTGAAATAAACGTTTTCTTAAAATATTTATTTTTGCTGAATTTCAGGTGTAGGCCATTTTGCACATGGGAGCAAAAGCTAAGCAATTTGCAGTCATTTGACACTGTTAGTTGTTTTCAGAGGACTAACATGGTGCAGCAGCTAAAGTGTTAAGCCAGGGCCCAGCATGCCAGTGCTCTCTTCCTGGCAGTTTCACAATGATTTACAAGCACAGATACCTCTCACATCTACCAGAATTCCCCAGGGTAGTGTGGTAAAGTCTGATCTAGAGAGACAACTAACTGGGCAGAGATTGCAAAACCACTTAGGGATGGAGGACTCTCTCTCTCTGCCCCAGCCCATTTCAAGCTAGTTAAAGAAAATAACAAATAGAAAGGAGCTGTGTAGTAAAAAGAAAATAAGTGTGTTTTGGTCAGTAATTTATAGAAGGTTCACATTACATCTAGTCAAGGTCTGGATGTCCCCTTCTCTCACATTCATATAAAATTACTTTATTTACTACTTAATTTAGCCTAGAAAGGAACTTCTCTCATAACTTAAAGTTCTGGCAATTGCCCCTGATTGTTCAAAACTGACTTTAAATTACAGTTTAATGAACTGTCCATGAAGCAGGAAAGAGCAGAAGAGAAGTATCAACATGCTGAACTGTTGTGTGATATGTAACTCTCTTTAGGGCACAGGAGTAGAAATTAATGGAGATGAAGAAGAGAGCAGTGATCTTCCAGGCAGTCATTCTCTATTAAGAAATGGGGCCAGGGCTGCTTTTACTGCATACCTACACAGTGCCTCACTTAAAAAGGCACTGGCCTGAGCTTGAGACTCTCAGCAGTGCTGAAATTTAAAAATAAATAAAAAATAAATTTTTTAATTCTTTCATAGAACCATCTCTTACAATCAGAGATGAAAGATAATAATGATTTCATAGAATCATCTCTTACAATCAGAGATGTTCCAAATATAGCTCCAGCTGAGATCCAGATCAGGGAGATGAACAGTGTATCTCCTTTTACAGATTCTTGTAATTGGAAAACACTGTGATCATACAGCTTGACTTCCAGAACAAAAAATACCTACTACTCATTCCCAGCTGAGTGGCATGTACCCATAACTTCAGGCTTTAAGTTAAGCAATAATACTTTTCCAGTGAATGGTTGACCTCAGCATATCAGGGTGGGATAGAAAACTGATCAAGAAGGCTATATTGTTATATTCCAAGACATAGAAAATACAAGCATCTGAGATCTTGAGCATGTGTATTAATGTTATACTTCACCAAATTGAGAGGATGCTTTAAAAATATATATATTAAATTCTTTGAGTTTTCCTTCTCTTTTAGGCTGACTCATCTCAGCCCATTTGAACAGAGAAAAGATGAACAAACCTTAATGAGGGAAGGATCCCTGCAGAGACAAGGTGATTACGAAAAAAAGTCAAGTGAAAAAAACAGAATCAAAAGAGATTAAAGTAATTACTTCAACCAAATTGTCCAAATCATATTAAGGCCTGATCCTACAACTTCTCACCTGCAGTAGGTTTCTGTGCTTTACATTACTTTTCAGGCATGCAAAAGATAATGGATTGAGGCATTCAGAAGATTTTTTCTCTTATCCCCATGGTAAATATCTGAAAATGTTAGTGAGAGAACAGAGACTGTAAGTATCATAACTAAACATCTATATGTATAAGATAAAACTTCTAGTTAAATTTTTGCATTTTAATAAATTTTATTTATTCATGAATACTGCTTGTATATACATATATTTATAAATTAGCAAACAAATGCTGTTTTCTTCCTTTCTTTTTAGTAAGATACCTATGAACAAGTTACTTTTGACATGCACATGTTACAGCAGATGGCAAGTATTATCCCTACACTTCTAACAGCTATAGAAAGGAAAAAGATTCATAAAACAGCTATAGAAAGGAAAAAGAGTCACAAAACAAAACTGTGTTTTATTTCAAATATACAGATAATGAAAAAATTAGTCAAATTAATGTTATCTCTTTTGAGCAATGGAAAATACTATGTTCCACACTGTCATGTGAAGTGCACAGAGCCATTGGGTATTGCCTCAAAATGAATGTAAAAGAAGTGCAGTTATTTCTGAAATACTTCACACAGAACAAAATCACCATTAAACAAAATAATACTATGTCTGAAATCAGGACAACATCCCAAAAAATGCACATAGCTGCCTTGAAACTCATTGTTAAAGAAAAACAAAAATGTATAAGGTTGCCCGTAAGTTCTGGAAAGATCATGGGATTTTAAAAAATAGCCTCCTAATAGAGCTTTTTAATATCTAGGGCTACTTGAGGCATTTGAATGATCTTTCTACTTGGCATTTTATTAATGTAAAAGCTCTTGGAAGGATAAAAATGTTTTGAAGTGAGGTGCTATTTTCATAAAATGTACATCTGGATGATAGGTCTAGAGGAATCTCTTCTCATATTCTATATAAAACATACCTCAGAATTTTTTTTTTTTTAAGAAAGAGATTGAATAGGCTGAAATTTAAGCAATTAAGGCTTGTCTTTTCTTTCTTTTTTCAAGAGGAATGACCACTTTCTTTTCCTAAAGTTTTAATATGTCATAGACATTATGGATATTCTTAAATACTTAATTCTTGTTTTGTTTACCACAATATGAACCATAGGTAATTTCACTTAAATACTTGGATTTCTACCAGAGATATGAAATTAATTTCCAGTTATCACTATTGTAGGTCCCCAATATATTGCAACATGTGAGACAGGGTCCAAAACAATAACCATGGTCCCCCAGTGCTGGGGCCAGAGCTAGTATGTTGATCCAAAACTGTGCTATTCTATGTAAATTTGCCACTTTGGGCTGCCACAAACTTCTTCATGCATACCCTTCTGTGGGAAACATGGTCTGTATGAACCTTTCCCAGGGACTAGAGTTAGTGCATAAAGCAGACATTTGCCACTGACTGACTGTACTCTGTGCTGGTGTGGACACCAAAATTGGATCTGGCAAGACATCTGCTGTGGCTGGAGTTTGAATTTCCCTTCATGAGCTTCTCTACTCTGAGCCATGTTGAGGAGCATGGCATGTATTTTACACAGAAACCCAGTCAGGACATACTAACATTCTTGCATCTGGTTATGAAGGTGAATAGGAGGCACTGGTGATGGAAGTAGAAAATAGCCTAGAGTAGTCTTCTGATGCCCAGAGACATGGGAATACTGCTCCAGGTACCAAAGTGAATCTGCCATAAAATTCCATTGGCACATAAATCTCCAGCAGTGCAGTGTAATTTGGTTCAGCATGTTTCTTTTCCCAAACAACAAAAGGAAAGTTTTGTAGAAACAGTCTATGACACGATTAACATTTCAGAAGACTGGTAACATTAAAGGGCTTTGTATTTTTATTGGCTCAACAAACAAAAGATTCCCTTTGAGTTTCATGGGAGCCCTGGGTTATCAGTCCAAAGCTGAGTTAAATTAGTAGTGATTGGGAGCTGTTACCATCTGTTGAGTGTGTGATGGCTTGTGCTACATTAGTTAATGTATTTTAGCAGACAGATGGGCAGAAATGTGCAGGCCTTAGTCATTCAGCACCCTTGTTAGCAATCTGAATAGAGAGATCAGGAACATGGAAGGCATAGGAGTGAATTTCTTTTTAAATCTATGACAAAGTCCCCTGCATCATGCTTCTGGCCTTTTTCAAGGATGTTTCTACAACTGCTTCCTCTGTTATATATATTGTGTAGTTAAGAAAAGTACTGTTCTTTCCAGGTGCTGTCAATCTTGGTGCTTTCTCTTGCTCTAAAATATTTTTTTTAAAAAAAACAAGCCACATTTCTGTTCATGCCTTCAGGTGTTAAAACCCACACAATTTTTTTTTCCATGGACTAAATGTCACAGCAGTTAAATAATGATGATGTGAAAGAACACTGCCATATCAGCGATGATTTAACTCTGTCTATTTTCCCTATTTCTTCCTACCCAGGCTTCCAGCTTTCCAGGTCTAAAGTCACCAATTCTCCCACAGTGCAAAAAACATGAACTGTGCTGACAAGAAAACTATTGTTTAATGGAGAACTGCACTACAAATTAATATACTTCTTGTAAAGACTGAACATTATCTATCTTACTTCATGGTCAGAAAAATCCCTTTTCTATACTAGATAGTCTAATGAAAAAGAACTGTTTTAAGCAAGACAGGAAAAGGGAATAGAGCACTGCAGAGGGATTAAGGACGCCCCAGTGCAGTTTTGTAGTTAACCTCACCTCTTGTGGGCTTCTTCCCTCTCTGTGCATCAGTTTCCCCATCTACAATTGGCAATCATTAATCCACACAAGCCATCATCAAATTCCCAGAGCCAATGCCACATTTTTGGGTTTCCAAGCATCTCTTTCTTATCAGTTACTTGTATTTCATTGTGCCTGAAATTAGACAGTAAGATTTTGGAGAAAGAAGATTACATTTGAGTCTTCAAAATATTTACTACATTTCAGAAATATATATGTATATAATTTCATAAAAAAGTCTACATCAGAGAGATATCAAGGTTGTGAAATCAGTCACTCAAGATTATGAAATGCCAACATAAAAGATTCACATGCCTTTTGCATACCCATATTTTTTAATCAAGTCCAGCTTTCCTGAATCCTGTATCTGTATTTTAATAAAGACCAGAAAATACGGTCTCTTCCTGAAATCCTTCTTCATTGGTCATCCTGAAAGTATGTATAGTAGCTGTACCAAAACAAAAACATGATAAGAGTAACTGAAGGCTTCAGCATTATGCATAAAACAAGGGCACATCTTCAATAGTTCCTTACAAAATTGTCACACTGAAATTGGCTCTGTATTTCTGACCAACAAAACTCTTGGTGCAGTACAATCAGAAGAAAATATGCCACATAACCAGTGTACCAGACCTTAGAACTGGAGCTACAGAACCTTTTAATGTATCTAAAATAAAATATATTTTTCATTGTAATTTTGAGATTAATGTATTTTACTGAATGAGCAGCATAAATAATGCATAAAGCATCTCTTATCTACTGGTTCAGCAAAGTAATACAAAATAATCTGCAAATTTTAAAACTGACAGAAGGCCCTGGGAAAATGGTATTAATGTTATTCTGAAGACTCTTCTGCTTTCTGGGAGGTGGGCAACAGAAAGCAGAAGATGAGGATGAACTTTAGTAGAACAAGGTGCAGGGTTGGTTTAATAGCTTTAAAATGTGCATAGCTTTATAGTGAATACTGATTTTCACTCTGGTGAGACTCTAACTGCACACATTCAAGAAATTACAACATCATATAGCACTTGTGCAGGTGACAGATGAATGAACTAATGCCCCATCACGGTGCACATAGCTCACGAACTAACCTTTCATCTGAAATCTAAAACAAAAGCACGGACTGATTATGCTCTTTAATCTCAATAGTACTTGTCTCTAGGGGAAAGCTTTAGCCCATAAACTCAAGCCAGATTCCACTCTGAGTAATTATATTCTGCCTACAGTAATTATGTTCCCTTTGCAATTTCACATGGAACTAATGTCCACCCACTTGCTACAATGAACTATTTTATTGCTGTGCAATTGCTGTGCGTAGCTGAAGAGTTGCTGGAGTGGGAGAGGTAACCTGGGGCCAGAGACAGCTGCCACGCACGGTGACTGCATGGTGGCAAACCATTCCCTGCCAGATGACCCAGAGGCCGTACTGTGGCAGGACAGACTGATGAAGGAAGGGTTATTGTATCTCAGCCCACAATAAGTCTTGGAGATAATTCAACTTACCAATATCTCACCAAGTGCTGTGGGATCTTACAGAAAGAAGGGCACCATTTCCGACGTGTACGAGGTCAGCAGTTACTCATTAAATGTAGCAGCAGGCTGTCGTACAGAGCAGTAAGGCACATGGCACTAAATACACAGCTTGAAAATACCCCACAACGGCAGTGCCTTCTCTGTTCTTAATGTGGGCCTCCATTGTCATGAAAGGCTTATACAAGCAGCAATTCAAGTTAATGGCTGTTTTTCCATGGACTTCAGCAGCTATCAGAGCAACCTTAAGCACTGTCATTCTGCCTCATGAATTTAGTATAGTCTGAAATGGGCCCAGCTGAAGCATTGCATCAACGTGAAATTCAGAAAGTGCATTAAACAAAAGCCTTAAAAGGGTGTTACCATTCTGCTTTAGCTGTGGAAACTGAATGACTGTACAGTCCAAGTATGGGCTAATAGAACAGCACATGCAACAAGCAACACTTCTGTCTTCCACAAAGAAAAAATAGCACCTGTTCTGTAGACATTTCCCGAGTAAGGAGGTTTTAAAATTTCATAAAGAAAGAGAAGAAATCTTTCACTCAGAAAATGATCAGGTAGCTGTAATAAGGACTCCCTAAATATCACTTTATAAAATGCAGCAATGACTGTCCTGTTTCAGAGTAATCTATGAGCTCCTTCCAGTGCTTTTCTGAACAATTGCATTTGGACACAAATCATGTAGAGGGTCTGCGTTTTAAGGACACACTGAATGCATCAGCTCACTCACTATTACTTCTAACTCAATAACTCTGTCCTCCTCCTCCTTTTCATGTTCCTCAACAGATTATGTCAATTCCCTCACAGATTTCTGTCTTGCTTTTACAACTTATTGTTACTTGG